CAAACAACAAAAATGCAATCATTGACAACTGTGATTAAAGCTTAAGAACTAATACATGCACAAAGTCAATATGAAGATGTAAAAGATTCAACCAAGATAGAGGAAGAAGACATGAGAGAATCTGATCTTGAAACAGAAAATGAAGTAATTAAAAGAGATATGATAATTAAAAAGTCAAGGCCACAAAGGGAAAGAAGAATAACACAAAAATTTAGAGATTATGTAATGACTTGTAAGAGGATTATAGACCCCTCAACTAAGTCTACCACTCCTATCAACTAATTGTATGGTAAGGATTCTCAAAATTTATTTTTTAATAAAAATGTCATAGTATTTTCTACTCATAATGTAGGATTGGCAAATGAAGCAATGAATAAAGAGCTAAAAGCTTTTCTTTCAAACAATACATGGAAACTAGTTCCCTTACCATAAGGAAAAAGGGCAACTAGAAGCAAATGGGAATTCAAAATTAAACAAAAAGGCTAATGGAACAATTAAGAGGTATAAAGCTAGATTAGTTGCAAAGGGTTACAATCAAGTAGAGGGACTCAACTATAATGAAACTTTTGCTTCAATGGCTAAATTTATTCTAGTGCGATGCTTATTGGCTATTTCAATAATTAAATGATGGGAATTACATCAAATGGTCATTGACAATGCCTTTTTACATGGCGAACTCAATTAAGAAGTATTCATGAAACCTTCTTAACGAATGAAAGGTCCTAATGATTCACTAGTTTGCAGGCTACATAAATGTTTGTATGGACTCAAACAAGCACCTAGACAATGGTGATTATGCTTGTTGGGAATAATCGAGATAAATGTACATAATTTAAGAAATATTTCTAGACTTGTTTCAAAATAAAAGACCTAGGGTTCTTGTATTATTTATTGGGGTTAGAGGTTAGAAGGAATCAAGATGGCATTGATAACTCTATCATATAGAGTTATTTAGGCTTAATTTTGATAATAATTTAGCTTAGTTCCTGTAGTAATGCATAGAAATTAGTAGGTTTTATTTAGATATTTGAATTTAGTTAATTTATATGAGTCAATCTAATCCTAGTTAATTTTATGCTCAATTTGGTGTTAATATGGTTAAGATAGGTTGTTATTGATTTATTTTTACTTTTGTAGGTGTTTGATGATGAAAGAATTTCAATGGAAGAAGGAGAGAAATTTCAAGGTGTAGACCTCTAATGCACATATTTTTATATTTTAGAATTGACTTCTTTCTTCACCCAACTTAGCCTAACTTCAAAGCTTATAAAAACAACCTCTTAGAAGACTTTTGAAAGGAGATCGAAACACCAAATTGGCAGCTGAGAGTCAAGCCATAAAGTTATTTAAGCTAAGAGGAATTTGAAGGATTCAAAGAGATTTGGAGATCAAGAATACAATTCTTGGATTTTTCTATCCTTTTGTTATTTTCTTATTTTTCTTAGTTAGATTTGACTGTTTAAATTTTATTTAATGATAATATGTGACTTGATGGGGACCTAATTATTAATCTAAAATTATGATTGAATTCAATATGTAGTTTAAATTATTTATCTCTCTTTGGATTATGTTTGATAGATTTAGGTTGTTTATTTTATTCTGTTCTTAATGCTTCTAGTTGACTGGCCACCAATAAGATTGAATTGGAAACCTAGGTTAAACCTTGACTTAGGAGATTTAGGTAAACCTTGAATAGAATAGCATATGATCGAATACACTTAGTTGATTAGGTCGTTTGATTTGTATATAGGGTAGACATACATCTATAAGCTATACATAGCCAAAATTAGAGTACAAACTTAGTGAATCTTTCTTCAATATAATTCACATAGACATATAGTAAATTAATTGGGAAAGGTATTTTTATGAAAAACTCGATAGAGATTTGTAAATAATTTAGAACTCTAGGTTAGCAACTTAATTCATTAAATTGAGTTAAAAGCGAGAGACAATATTCAGATGAAGTATTGAGGGATATCATAATCTTAGGTCTGGCAATCACTAGAAGTTAATAAAGTAAATTTGGTAATAAATTTTAGATTAGTTTTAGTTTTAGTTATTAGTTTAATATTTTCAAGTCTTTCTTTTTAAGTTTAATTGTTTAGAATAATTAGGGTGTGTTAATTTTAATAGTTAACAATAAGGATTAATTCAATTTTCTATGGAATCGACACTCTATTCATTTCTATATTATCTTTGTGATATGTGCACTTGCGTGAATAGAAAATTAAACAGTAGGATTCTATATGAATCAACACAAATATGTAGGAGATATTATCAAAGAACACCAATTCCATAACAACACAATCTATCTAGTAAGATAAGGGACTTACCATAACAACACAATCTATCTAGTAAGATAGGGGACTTACTTGAGGATGTGACTACATATCGGAAACTTCTGAAGAGACTAATCTATTTAACAATGATTCGACTAGACATCTCTTATGTTGTATAAGTCTTAAGCCAATTCATACAGGCACCAAGAGCTCCTCATCTTGCTATAACAAAAAGATTGATCTGATATATTAAGAAATCTCCTGACCATGGCCTTTTTTGTTCCAATATGAACTTACTTTAGGTAAAGACCTACTGTGACTCAAAGTGGGCTACTTATTTGACTATTAAGTGCTTAGTTTCATGAATGCTTATTTTTCTAAGAGACACTGTCATTAGCTGGAAATTGAAAAAACAACAAACAGTATCTAGATCATTAGTTAAAGTTGAATATTATGCAATGGCAATGACAACTACAGAATTGGTTTGGGTACACAATGTTCTAAAAGATTTGTCTTTTTCTATTACAAAACATATTCCCTTATTTTGTGATTATAGGTCAACTACACACATTGCATCTACTTCAATCTTTTATGAATGAACTAAACACATCGAGCTTGATTGTCGTTTTATTAGAGAACGCATTCAACAAAAGCTCTTAGCTCTCAATTTTTTTTCCCTTACACAATCAACTTGCAAATTTGTTAACCAAGGGTCTCAGTTCTAAAACATTCAACTTGTAACTTAACTGTATAAGGGTTCACTCTCCACCAACTTGAGGGAGACATAAGGCGGATACCTACAATATCGATGGTAAGCTCAATGGAGCTCTAACCCGTCACTCACATTGGCATAAGGGAGGCTATTACGAAATATATGTATATCCTCAAATCAAGCAGCAGAATATGTTCATTATTCGAGCAATAATATTCTTCATATTTCAAGCAATAACATTTGGATATTCTTTATATTTCAAGCAATAGTATTTGACAAACTATTTACTTCTTTCTATATTTATTTTAACATTTTCTTAGGGAGTTTAATAGACATTTAGGAGTATTAGAATCTATAAAAATGGTATATATATGTCGTCATCTTGTTAATAAAAGTAGGGTTTTTTCTAATTCTAAAACCGATCCATTGATATTTTCTACAATAATATTATCAACTACTTACAAACATTACTTACCAAACATTCTGTCAGCAATTCTGTGGATAAAAAAAATTATCAATGGAATGTTTGGTCAGTAAAGTTGCTACCATTCCTATTTCTTTGGTGTCAATCCGTTACCAATCGAATATCAACTACTCATGTTTCATTGATAAATTCGACCAATACTCTATGGTTAAAATCCTCACCTCATTTAGTTGACATTCGGTCTACAATCTGTAAGTAACTACCAATGGATTTTTACCAACAGAAGTGGTTTGTTCGTAATGTCTTTTTTTTTTCTTTTGCAATGTAAACATATAGTGATCTCTTTACTTTATCAGTACCTATTTAACTTGATAAAACATTGATTAGTAATAAGTTAGGAATAATGCTTTGATGCAATAAAGATTTCATAATTATAACTCTTTATAATTACTTTTGCAAAGCATATAACATTCCATAGACTTTGTTTCATTTTTGTCAACATTAATGTTGTTATGAAAATAAAAAATGCTTCTTATTTAATGTAAATGCTTAAATTAAAAAATTGTATTCTTTTTACAACCAAGTGATTAAATTACATAACATACAACTACAACATTACAATGTTAGTTTTTTTAAAATTATATATGACACTTTACGATATATACCAAACGATACAATATTAGTTTTTTAAAATTTTAATCGATTCTTTATCATATATATCAAATGCTATAATATTATTTTTCTAGCAATCTCATCATTCTATTGAAATATTGAACGGGTAAGGTACCAAATATAGAAAGTTAGTTATAAAGAAGAATCAACTTAAAAATGAAAGAATTGCGCTATGAAAAGATCAACCGAATCCTATTTCAAAAGGAAATATAAACTTTTTCTAAAATAAGTCCAATATCTAAAGCTCAAACTCTAACACAACAAGACTCAATAAAAGGAAACAAATATTCAGAATCGGTTAAGAAACAAAGGGAAAAGAGAGGAAGGAGTGAAAAGATTAAAGAGTAAGGAAATGAGAAAAAATCACAAAAAGTTAAAATGAAAAAAAAGAGGGATAATAAAGAACGACATAGAAGGTCGAGATCTGTTACATAAAAGGACTAGATTCTGTTTAGATGGAGAAGTTCTCAATTTAGAGAGTGAAAGTTTTAAGATATAATATTCTTGTTGTTGAAATTCTTATACATTTATAAATTGGATAAATTTTAGTAATACTATTATTAACAAATATTCAAAATGATACTTTAAAAAATATAATAAACAACTATAATCATTTTTGTCAATTTGAAAATTTTCTAACATTCGTATATAGAAACTAATCGTGCAAAGTATTAAAAAAATTTAAAACATTTTTAAGTGATATTTCAGACTATCATCTTTCATCTTCTATATTCATTAAGATTAGCACGGGGTCAAATTTATTCACTAGATGGTACTTAGCAGCCTAATTGCGAGACAACAAGAATGACCATTGATTAACCTGTAGAAGTGCACGTGCAAGACACGAATAAAGCGGTGCGTTTTTGTTCTTTTCTAGCAGATAAATAAAGCGGTTTGTTTTTTAATTGTTTTAACTAAAGTACTAAAAAGTCAAAACTCTGACCAAAGGCCTACCATAGCGAGCGAGGGAAGACATAAGGAAACGAAAAGCAGCAGAAGCCGCCCAACGTCAGCGACCATGATACTCCACAACGCAGTGATCGTCACTATGGACTCCGAGAGCCGAGTCTTTCAAAACGGAGCCGTGTTCATCGACGAAGACAAAATCAAAGCCATTGGTCAATCTCCAGATGTTCTTCAGCAATTCTCCCCTCTCGCTGGCGAGATTCTCGACCTCCACGGCCAAATCTTGCTTCCTGGTAGTACCCCCACCCCCTTCCTTATTAGGAATCGAGAAGAACTTGATCGTTTTTCACTGTGTTTGCTAATTTAGGATTCATCAACACACACGTGCACACCTCGCAGCAGCTGGGCAGAGGAATAGCCGACGACGTGGATTTAATGACGTGGCTACACCATCGGATTTGGCCGTACGAGTCCACCATGACCGAAGAAGACTCTTACATCTCTACTTTACTTTGCGGAATCGAACTTATTCACTCTGGTGTAAGCGTTTTTCATAATTAGCTTTTCTTATCAACTTAATTTCATTCTCTTTTACTTTTCCTGCTGTACTACGGTTTTTATTTTTGGTGATAATTTTCGAAACAGGTCACGTGCTTTGCTGAGGCGGGAGGGCAGCACGTGAGCGGAATGGCGAGAGCGGTTGAGTTGCTGGGATTACGAGCCTGCTTAACAGAATCAATTATGGACTCTGGGGAGGGTCTACCGTCGTCTTGGGGGATGAGAACAACGGATGACTGTATTGAGGTTGGGTCTAATTTTGATTATTTCATTTGCATACCACTCAAAAATAATTTTATTGGTTCCAAACATCCCTATTCTATTGGATGAACAAAACTCTGGATTTGGCAGTCCCAAAAGATGCTCTATGAGAAGCACCATAATACAGCGGATGGTCGTATTAGGATATGGCTTGGGATTAGGCAAGTTATGAACTCAACTGATCGTTTACTGCTTGAAACCAGAGATGCCGCTAGAGAATTAAAAACCGGGATCCACATGGTACTGAAGCTCTTATCTCTGTTTCTTTTGTGCACATAATGTACAAACCTGATGGTCAATGATCTGTTTCTTTTTGTGCACTTATGGTACAATATTTCATTTTCATCCCCATTTGGACAACACTCAACAGTTTTATTCAATTTGTAGAAGCTTCTAATTTGAAATCAGATTAACCAGGCTAAACATGGTGCTTTGGAGGAAGGAGGAGTTTGATTTTTAAAGTACATTAGGCTGATCTTCCCACTGTTTAGCATGTTGCAGAGATACCCTATGAGAATCAAGTTGTGATAGATACTCGCAAAGTTGATCATGGGACAGTTACATTTTTGGACAAGATAGACTTCTTGCGAGACAACTTATTGGCAGCTCATACAGTTTGGGTGAATGATACCGAGGTCAGCTGCTGCCATACTTTTGTTTTCCGCTGCATTGAAGTACAATTCAATTGCATTGCATAATATTTTATCATTTTACAGCTTAAGTGCAGAATTGAAGTTCAATAAAGATGATTTATAATTAATAAGTACAACCTCTATCCACATATAGTTTTTCCCCTCTGTAGCTAGTTCTGGTCTTAAGTTTTCTTGTATTAATTATATTTTCTTCAGATTGGTTTTCTTTCAAGAGCTGGGGTCAAAGTATCTCACTGTCCTGCCTCTGCTATGCGAATGCTTGGATTTGCACGTATAAGGGAGATGCTCAATGCTGGCATCTCTGTCTCCTTGGGCACAGATGGGGCACCATCTAATAATAGAATGAGCATTGGTTGGTTTGACTTCTGATATCTGGATTCTCACTCACACATTTTCTGCATATTTGAAAAATACGATTGTGCATGATAGGTTGTGTGCTTTTGCATTTCCAGAATAAGGTTTTACTTTTCTAGAACCCTGAAAAATTACTTTAGGTTTGTGCACTTCATAGTGCAAAATGCGTTGGGTAGACATATTATTTGCTTGCAGAATTCGCAAAATTGTAAGATAAGGAGATCAAGGGTTAGCATTCTTGATCAATTATAATCAGCTTCTGAGAGTCTTCTTGTATTGCCTATAACTTAAAATGATTTTTGTACCATCTCAGTCCTGTCACCTGCAAGTTTGTTGATTACAACTTCTCTTAACAAGTCTGTGATTTCCTCCTTGCAGTTGATGAGATGTACCTAGCTTCTCTGATTAACAAAGGGCGGGAAGTGTATGCAATGGGAACAACTGATCCCACAGCCCTCCCTGCTGAAACAGTTCTCAAAATGATGACAATTAATGGTGCAAAATCAGTACTCTGGGACAATGAAATAGGGTCACTTGAGGTTGGGAAAAAGGTCAGACTACTTAATTAGTTTCTTGCTATTAACTCTTCATGATCATATGATAAACTTTTCTAAAATTCAAGGAATTCTCAGTTGTCAATGCTCTCATTCCTAATTTTATGCATCATCCCCACTATGACTTTCTCTTGTATAGTAATTCATAAATAAAATGAAACAAATCATACCGGTCCAGGATCATGGAATGCCATATAGAGACTGTAGAAGGAGGAGTACAAAATATTCTTACTAGATCATCTCGTGTAAATGCCTCATGAAAATTATTACCTAAATATGTAAACTAAATTTCATAAAGATACAATCCGCCCATGTATCTTATGAGTTAGTGCCAAATTGCATCCAAATGCCTAGTATTTGGAACCTTTTCACCTTTTAGAAATATAAGTCTCAATTTTCTTCACAATGTTTCAGAATATTCAGGCTGACTGCTCTTTGGGTTAATTATTTGGTAGGCTGACATGGTTGTTGTCAATCCTGTCTCATGGTGTATGGTTCCTGTTCATGACTGGTAAGTATAAAACCAATGTTGAGAAAAATAAAATCATATTATTTGTTGATTTCTGGTTGTAGTCCCCAGTGAAAAAGGAAAATGTCTTAAGCTTTAACATTGCTATCAGATGAAACAATTACTTAGGTCAATTATTTCTTTGTCAGGTTCTTGTTTTTTTCTTTTCCAATTAAAGACTAGCCTCTGAACTAATTTCTGTTGATGAATTATTTTGTCTTTAATATTTGCAGTATTTCAAACCTTGTATATTGCATGCGAACTGAGAATGTTGTCTCTGTAATATGCAATGGTCAGTGGATTATGAAAGATAAGAAGATTTTAAATGTAGATGAGGTATTATATCTTCTGCTGTTTTCCTCTATTTTCTACTCTGTGTTATTGGTTAGTTTATCTAGATATACAACATACATCTGATGCTAAGCCTCTGAGTCATTTGAATCCGTTCTTTTAAAACATCTGGTTACTTATGCATATGTTAGGAAGTGGATAACAATGGCTTTGTTGTGTCTGACTTCAATTACATTTCTCATGCTTGGCATTCAAACCTTAAAAAGTTTAGTTAATGCAGTCACTGAAGTAGGGTAAAGGATCAAATTTTACAAAAATTTGCAAATAAATCTTCTTGCTGAAATTATTATTTGAAGTGCAATGTATCACATTCATCTTCCTAACATGAATGCAAATTTGGACTGATCAGGAGGAAGTTATATCATTAGCAATACAAGCTTCAAGCAAACTCTTGAGAAGAGCAGGCATCAAAATACCGAGCAGAATGAACGTCCTCTGATTGTTGGATTAGCAAGCCCCAGCAATGTGATGTGGAACGTAAAAGTATACTCTGATGAAACGCCATTCACCTCATGTTTCTTGGATGATCATTCCACAAAGAGGTGATCATGTCTCTGTTGTCTATAAATGCTACTGCTTAGATAGTAGCCTTCTCTGTTGGTAATATCGGTCTTCTGCATGTTGTGCTATCTGCTGCTAAGCTGGTGGACTTGATGCTCGTTCTATGGGTTCCTGAAACAAATTATGCCAACAATTTAAGGATTGAAATAAGAAACCAAGCAATTGATATCAGATTGTGTGTGTTAGCTATGTGTGAAATATGAAGAATTACTTTTATCATTAACAGGACAAGCAGTTTTCTTCTTTGGTGCATGCAATCCCTGCCCCATAGAAAGGTACCTTAGGTTGTGGCACATTGAGTAACGACTCCTTATGATTTTGGAGAGAATATTGTGAGCTGTTTGCAGAAGCTAACCGGTGAATAATCTAAAAACCAATCCAAAATCATGTAGTAGAAGATTAAATAATTAAATGTTTAGATGGAATAGCAATTAAACATATGTATCAATGGTGTTCAAGAGAGTGAGGGAAATGAAATCCATTCTTTCTCTGATTGTTCCACAAACTGAGGTATATACAGGAAAGAACATGGAATTTTTGTACAGACCTATAGCTGGCATGCTAGTGTTTACAATAGAGACAAAAACATTCTATTCACTTAGCAGAAAAGGGAGAAGATGATGTACACAGTATTAGATGTCTTAATATACTATATGTTGAGCACATGTCTCCTCTGTTTTATTAATCCCATATATGCCTCTACTTACTTTGGTCTTCTTAATACTCCCTCTCAAGATGAGTACGTTCAAAGCACTCATCTTGCCCAATAAAAATTGGAACTGCTTTAGTTCTAATGCCCTAGTGAAGATATCAGCTACTTGCATGTTTGTCTTGATATATTTGGGCACAATAACTCCAGCTAATACTTTTTCCCTAATGAAGTGGCAATCAATCTCTATGTGTTTTGTTCTTTAATGGAAGATGGGATTTTTACAAATATAAAGTGCCGATTGATTGTCGTAGAAAAGTTCCAAACCTTTGTTCTTTATGCCAAAATCACTCAACAAGTGTAATAGCCATATTACCTCGCAGAGGTGTGTAACACCTCATACCCTAGTAACATGTTTGAGACAGACCTTCAGGGTGATGAGAAGGTTGAATGAGATTTGATGAGATGCCTTGAAGTATCGGAAGGTGAAATGAGTATTTTTGAACAAAATTAAATAATATTATCTTGATTGATTGTTGTCAAATTTTGATTATGAATGAGATGAGCATGATTGGTACATGTAGGAGAGTGAAAAATGTGCATATGAGATGCTTTGTAATGCATGCACATTAAATAAGCTTGATTGAGTATAACAATATTATATATTTTTTTGTTGTTGTATTGTGGTACTTGTGAACACATGTTAGTAAGTTATGAATTAAAATAAAATTAATTGAATGATAGATGGGATATTTTACCCATGTGGGACAAAGATGACCATGCAAGATTAATGGTAAGGAAAATCATGGTTTTGGTAAAGAAAGCACATGGTTTCAAGAGAAACGAAAAGCAAAATGATGTGAAAAGAAATATTGCATGAATTTTCATTGGGTGGAAGTGACGGCAAAGAAAACGAAAGAAAAGATGTAATCATGATTATGGCTTTTAATTTGGAAGAAAGATGCAATCATGGCATTTGGATTTAAAGAGAAAGAAAATATATTAAATAATTATGCGATTAATGGGAAACTTTAGGCAATGTGGTTATGCAAAGTGAAAGGGATATAAAATGTAGTTTCAAGGCTTTTGCCTTGTATTGTTCGGCCATTAGAATGAAAAAGGGAGAGCTTGAGCATTTTGGAAGCTCCCAACTAATACGAAGAAAGAAAAGGGAAAACCAAGCCAAGGCTCGGTTTGGTGAAAAATAAAGGAAACCCAAGAGCTCCCTTACTCATCTCTTGTGATCTCTTCATTTTTCTCTCCCTAAGGACCACATTTTCTCAAGGAACTTGAGAATGGTTAAAGAAGCAAGGAGAACTTGATTTTCTAAGTTTGAGTTATGTGAAGGTAAGAAAAGAGTTTAGCTTCTACGTAAAATCTTTGTGGTGTGATTTGTGTCCAAGAATTAGGCATTCTTGTTGTAATCTTTTCATCTAAAATGAGTGGTGCATTTGTTTGAATATCGTGATTAATGCATGTAATGCATAACACATGTAAATGTGCTGCCATGGAACATGATTGGATGATACGGTTGCTTAGATGGATTATGCCTAGGGCTATGAGTGAATTGTGCTATACTTGATGAATTGCACTATTTGATATTGAACAAACCGCATAATGGTGATTGTGCTTGGTTGTTTATGTGTTGAGACTTAGGCTTTATTGACTCTATTGCTTTGTTGGTTTTTAATTCTGTGAGCATGAATGCTTGTGTTATAGTTGTATTCTAGCAAGAATGCTTTTGTACTTTGGTAGCCTATCGTGCGCCAATACGTTTTCTTGATGTCAATGAGCTGAATGTGGTGAAAAGAACTCTCAAAGTATTATTTGCACTACAGTGCTTTGATTCCATTCGATGATTTTAATTTTGGATGATAACTAGGATATGCCATCAATGGTTTTGACACTAGTCGTAACTCTGTGATACCATTCGAGGAGTGTATTCTGAGCAATGATAAATGTGGAAGATATGATCAGTATGTAAGGTTACGGAATTATGCCTAATGGAAGGTAAATCGCCAAATGGGCAACTATGAGCCTCGATGAGTATTCAATGGATAGTTACATATATACGTAATTGTAATTGCATATTCCATTATGCTTGCTGGATTGTTGCCCACAAACTTAGTTAATGAAAACTCACCTCAATGTTTGTTTCCATGTGTAAATAAGTAGCTTGTGGGGGTTTCCATGTAGGAAGCAAATGACTATCATCAATCCGATAGATTGACACTTCTAGCATCTCTAGCCTTTGATCATACTATGGTGCCTTGTTGCACCTTTGCGACGTGGCCATAAGTAATTCAAGGCTGCAGCCTTCGTTTTTAAACATTGCCTTGTACAGAAACTACAACAGTCTAGCTACTTCTAATGTGATTTTTTCCTTGATTTTTTCTGAATTAGGAAAAATGGTAAAAATGAAAATTGTAGCCCTATCCCTTAGCTTTCCAGTGTGGCTTAAGAATCACATCAATTAGACTACTATAGTTCAAGTTATACTCGAAACACTACAGCATGTACAAATAAAGCCATCATCATACTTGCACGGTTTTTCATCCAATAAATCTCTCATCAAATTTCCTACAAGAACAATGAAATAAGTCAACAATAACTATACTTAAAGTAATTAAATTAAAAATAACATAAAATTGAATTAAAATAACTTAAATTAATCTAATCAACATGTAATTAAACTTAACTAAGAAAAACACCTAAAATACTAAAATCTGAACCTAAAATCTTCAAGACCTAGTTATTTAAGTTTTAAAATATTTTAAAATAACTCTATATAATAGAGTTATTACACCTTTATACTTAAGATTTTACTAGTTCACGAGCAAAACATAAACTACAATGCAGTAACATAAATAAAGAAACTAATTTAACTAGATATAAATTGCAACAACTTAACAATCACCTTCAATATCCTCATAAGTTAATCCATATTCTCAACTATAAGCAACACATAAATATTATACAAGTTTATATTTTAATTCAAATGCAAGCTCATCGTCAAGTGGATTTTCGTTTGTGTGTGTAATCTTTTCACCAAAAATATTATACAATCTAGATAAGTTTATACATATCCAAAATTCAAAATAATTTTGGAATTTTATAAGTTTGTTTTTTATCTGTCTCTCCACTAATATAGACTAATATTGTGTCAATGATCAATAGAACTTTATCAATCTTGTAATGTATGGCTAGGGTCAAGGTAGGATATGGAATAATATGTAGCTCAAATCACCCTAAGTACATAGTCATTCTAGGACATATAAAGAGCTTTATTTTCTTTCACTAGATACACTCTTTTTCATTAAAATTTTCTTTTGTTCAACTCTTTATTCTTTTTCTTCCCATTTTATTTTTCTTTTTCTCAATATCATACCTCCAAACTTATTTCTTTTATTGTGTAGTGAGATGAATACATACTTTTGAGCCTTTAAAATCACTTTTTATCTTTACTACCTTTTTCACAATCTAGCTCATTACACTCTTAGATTAACTTATGCACTTAGGAATGAGGGATGCAAAAATTAAAATCATTTATGTAGGGGTCTAGGTTACTAATTAAGTGTTTAAATAAAGAAAAGATTATATTCGACTCAAAGGGGAATTCTAAAGATATATGGTAAGGTTGGCTTAAAAGGCTCAAATGGTCAAAAAATGGCCTAAATCATCTCCTTGACTACATAGAGCTTGGGATTTCGCCTATGAAAAGAATCAAACAAATTCTAGAACTCAAGACATAATTCAAAAATTCAAAATCGCATAAACCTTTTCTAGATATGTATAATGAATCTAAACAAAAGATGTAGTGCTTAAATTATAGAAATCACATCCAGACAATGAAGCTTAGCATAAGAATTTACATAATACTCAAACAATATTCACATGTTTCAAAGAATTAAAATAAGAATATAAGTAAGCTTTCATCATCGGATAGGTAAATTGAAAGAAATTGGCACAATTAAATCTAGCTCAAGTTTCTAAAACATGCAACAAATTAAATGATAAATAACTTAATTAAACTTAAGAGCTAAAACCATAAATGCACAATAAAGAAACTAAAGCTAAAAAAATTGAAAATTCACTCCAGACTTAAAATTAACATTGTCCTTAATGTTTTTGAATTATGTCTTGATTCTCATTGTATCCAAAGTTGTTGGGAAGATCTATTAAGGTGACAAAAATCTAAACAAGAAAAAGAACAAAAATAAATTAATTGGAAAATCTAAAAAAAAAACTTCAAATAAAAAGAATAAAAGTTTCAAAGACATAGGTTGCTTGCCAAGAAGTGCTTCTTTATAGTCACTAGCGTGACTATGGGACCTCTTTTTTCACTTCTTTATCCACAGAGTAATGCTTAAGACTTTATTTATTAACCTTGAATGCTCCAGTAAGCATCCTAAAATCTCAATAAGGCAATAAGACAAAACCTTTACAACTTTAAAGTTTTTCCACTAATATTGTTGAATTTGCCATGGAAAAAGATAGAGGCATGAACTAGAGAGTACTACTTGCTGACCAACCTCAAAATAAAGACAATTGGGAGGTGGTGGAAGATGCTTCTCATGCGATT